AGGCGCCGGGCCGAGGCCTCGGCGGTTTGCGCGGCCCTCTGAGGTGAGTACCGCCTCCGCGCCTCACGCGTTGAGGGACCGGCCGGGGCTTGAGTGGGCTGGGGGGGGGGCTTCGCCTTCCCCTCTTCAGGTGAAAATGCTATTAACGTGAAGCATGCACCGAGCGTCCCCGTTCCCCTGAAAAACACCATCTTTAATCATTACTTAGGTGCTTTCAGAGTTTTCCAGCAAGTTAATCAGCGTGTTCGTTTTTCAGCCTCTGAGTAAATCGGCATTTTGTCCTTTCAGAAACAATTAAGCCCTGAGGTGCCTTTTAAAAACAAGTCAGCCCATTCAAACACCGCGTGCACACAAGTATGTACATAGAGTGATGTTTGAATCGTGGATAACTAGAAAGTACCAATGTTTTCAAGAAAGCGCACAGTCTGTAAACCCAGTAATGGGATGCATAGGAAAAGCTCAAAACTGCTCCAGAGGAGGTTTAGACTGGACATTTCTTTACCAAGAGGGTGTTCAAACCCTGGAACAGGCTTCCTAGAGAGGTGGTCGATGCCCCAAGCATGTCCATGTTTAAAAGGCATTTGGGCAATGCCCTTAATAACATGCTTTAACTTTTGGTCAGCCCTGAAGCGGTCAGGCAGTTGGACTAGGTTGTTTTAGGTCCCCTCCAGCTGAACTACAATATGCTACGCTACACTACACTACACTACACTATTCTAAATCTGCCAGTTGTTGAGGTTTTTGTGCATGAACACCGGTAACTTTTTCCACGGAAGCTTGAAGCTTATTGTTTATATGCTTGTGCCTGTGAGTTTTGTTTAGCGTTATGAAACCACCTGCAGAACTGCAGATAACAAAAAGAAGATGCAAAGCTGTAGGGCTATAATTCACATTTTCAAAGAGCTTTAGCATTCAAAAGAAAATTGCAGAGATACACTGTGTGATATTTGAGTTGAACTTTCTGAACTCATTTTCAGCAAAATTTCAGTAACAGTGGTTGGAATTGTATTTGTGGCAATGTTGAACAGTTGTAGCTGTCCAACACCCACGTTTATTGCCTGTTCTCATTATTTTGTGGGGTTTTTTCTCATGCAGATTATATTAACAACAAATTTTAAAAAATGAATCAAGGTCATGACAAAGTTTAGAAGATCATCCTGTGAAAGAGAGTGCTTGAAGAGACGTGTTGGACCTAAGCTTATAAAGCATGGAAGAATACAAAGTGTTGAAAGTACTAGGAGAGGGATCCTTTGGCAGAGCTCTCCTAGTTCATCACGTAATCAGTGGCCAGAAGTATGCAATGAAGGAAATAAGACTTCCTGTGGTAAGCATGACATGTAGATCACCTCACCCACCACTTAACATTATTTTTTTTTTAAATAATAATTCTGGATATGCTTTTGAAATGCTGAACACTTTTGCTGAGAGTTTTGTGTATTAGACAGTTGCATGGTATGGCTACTACATAACTACATCCGAGTCTATGTTGTTGATAAAGTAAAGTTTTTAAAGTAGTAAAATCTGAGGTTGCATTTCAGAAAATCTGAGGTTGTTTGAGAAAGTCTGAGGTTGCATTTTGGGAAGTGTAGCACATAAGAAGACACATGGAATGAAATCCTTGTTCCCCTAATGCCGTTGGCTAGATTCCTATCGATTTCACAAGAACACAGATTTCATCTGCAATACCTAATGAAGAAATTAGCCTCATATTATTTCTGCTAATCAGATATTCAGGTTACCTTCTCCGCACTTAGCTAACCAAAAAGTCACAAAATGGGAGACGCTGGATTTATTGAGGCTGAAGCTCATTTAATACCTGGGCATTAAAAAATGATAATGTTGTCAAGTTTCTAAATGACTTCTTAAAATAACTGAAGAACAATTCTTAAAAATATTTTCCTTTTGGAAAGTGAGGTGCATCGTGTGTATATATAAAAATCCATTAGTGTGACATTTATATAAGTGTACTTACATTTTCAGTCTTCATCTGATGTAGAGAACTCTAGGAAGGAAGCAGTTCTTTTGGCTAAAATGAAGCATCCAAATATTGTTGCCTATAAAGAGTCATTTGAAGGTAAATATAAAAACTTAAAATATCTTTATTTGTCTAAAGTCGCATACTTCTGAGGAATCAAGATTACTTTTTTTGTTTATAATGTTATAAACAAAATACGTGTTTGTTGTAATATATAATACATAGCATGTAGTTGGAGCTTTGTAGTAAAAATAATATACTTACCCTGCTAATGAAAATACTAATTATTCTTAAATTACCTAAAATTTAGCTGATGGACATCTGTATATAGTGATGGAATATTGTGATGACGGAGATCTAATGCAAAAGATTAAACACCAAAGAGGAAAGTTGTTTGCTGAAGATACGGTAAGAAAAGACATTGTTTTGAACCAAGGATCTGGGAATCCTTTTTCGTGTAAACTGAAGCATCCTGCATCGCATAAAACGAATTATAGATATACAAACACCTTGAAGTACTTTAAATGAAACAAAGGCACTTACAGATAGAAAAGAAGCATTATTTCTTTGATAGTTTCCAGCAGAACAAGATGAGAATTGGACTGAAAGAAATAAAAAGTAAATTGCTGTCGGTATCTGAGAATAGTGCAGGCAGTGCGGAAAACAGAGTCAGGCTTGCATGCATAAATTTATGCAGTTAAGAATTTGACAAACTTTGGGCAGAATTTAAAGCACAGTAAGAGGTACTGCAAATGAAAAGTAAATAAAGCACTCTGGTAAGACAAATGAAACTATCCAGGAGACTAAATGCTTGCATTTTATGTAGCAATTAAATGTTTAAACCATTCAGCAGGCATTAACTCCTTCTATCACAGAGGCTACAAAATTACTTACGAGAAAGTCTAAACTACTTCCTGCTACAGTTAGAAGCATCATTTTAGTTAAACTGAAAAGAGCAGAATCCTCACCTAATCTTGTATTTAGATTGGCCAAGCACTTCTTACTAAGAACTTCATTTTGTACTTTTTAAAAGGATGTGTTTCCTTTTTGATAAATTTGATAATTTACTCTGAAATTGTAATTGGCATGCTTATAAAATGACCGTCAGTTAAAGTGCCATGTAAGTGACTCCCTAGCTTTACTGTTGTTATGTATTACTGGGGTTTTCTAGACAAGGGTAGCACACATTCCTTCTGCCATGTTAAAATACACTTTATCTTAAAGAATTCAGTCTTTCATGCCGACTGGAGGCCATTATGCTAGAGTCACTTTTAACTCCCTGATACTCTGAACATCCTTTTTTTTTCTTCCTTGATTTTTTTAATCTATTAGTAAAGTATTCATTCTGTACAGCATTGAGCCATTATAACTCTTAGTTACTCTTTTCAGATCCTTCACTGGTTTGTGCAGATGTGCCTGGGTGTGAAGCACATTCATGATAAACGTGTGTTGCACAGGGATATCAAATCCAAGGTGAACAGAGCAAGTTTCGTTGCCATTAATAAACTCTCTTTGCATGCAAAAGTTCAACTCCCTCTTTCATAATTTCCTGTAACTGCTACATGCTGTGTTTTTCATTTAGGCTTCAGAATATTAGGCATGTAATATTGTGGGCATAGACATCTTAAGTATAGCTATATCCTTCATATCCACACTGCTGATAGCACCAGTTGCTTGTGACAGACTGCATATAATTTAAAACGATAACAGAAGTATAAAACATGTATGGAGTATGCAGTTTGTAAATATCTTGCCTCTTGTTTATTCTTTTTTACTCTTTCCTAGCAGAAAGATAGAAATTCGGAACCTTAGTAGTTTGAGTACAGCACAGAGATTAAGGTGTTTCTAAGCTCTGATTCTTCCTCTGCTACTGATGCTGGGGCTTGAGGCCCATATAACCTTTCTGTCTCCCTTTAAACACAACATAGTTCTTAA